TATATATTTACTTAAAAAGGAAATTAAATAACTGAAGTGCTAATTTAAATATAAAGAGCTCTAGAGCTAGAATGAGTGTGTTTAAATATATATATATGTGTGTGTGTGTGTGTGTGTGTGTATACAAATCTTAAAGTAAGTTCTAATAAAAATATTTTAATTTTGTTTTTTTACTAATAACTTGAACTTTTAGTTAGAATATATTTAACTATTATACTTCACATATATTTTATGACTATAACGCGCCATCTGTAACACATATCAATTGCTTACCACTTCAAAATGGCGTCTGACGATTGTGGTTTGGAAATTGATAATCCTGGAGACTCGATAGAGTCATTGAGTAAGGAGGTGGAAAAACTAAAAGCAAGATTAGAAGAAGAGAGACAAAAGCTTAATGACGTAGCTCGTAAGTTTTCAATTAATATGATTAACATTAGGCTAATTTCGAAAAAATTCTGAGCTGTAAACAACAAATAAATGATCTAATGAGTAAATCGTAATAATGAAACCCATTTTTTATTCGTCATATTAGTAAAATTATTATTTAAGTAAGTGTTACTGTTAGTGAATGTTACTGTACTATTAGACGATAGGTATAAGCGTACCTAATTAGTGAAACTGATCGAGTAAATTTTGATAAAATATTTAACACAAAGGATCACACATAAAGTGTAATAGACTTAAAATAAGACCCAAAACTCGAGCGCTTTTGAATAGTTGACTATTCTTCTTCAGGAGAACAAAGTAAAGATAGTGCATTCGTAATCTTCTCGCTCTTACTCTTAGTAACTTAACCCTCTATGCCTGACGCTGTATTTTTATTAACACAAGGCCCATGGTGACTACTTCAATATTTAATTCAGTGATGGGTAAAGTACTGAAAATATTTACTTGTGTAAAATTACTGTTACTTTACAAAATATTCATTCAAGTAAAAATACCTGTTGTTGATGACTATTTAAGTTAAACTTAACGTAAAAAGTACTGAATATACACAATACTTAAGTAGCAATAAAGTGAAAAACATCAACAACAAAAAGTAAGGATAGCATTATCAAAAATAGCCTACATTCAACTTGAATTTACACAAAAATGGCACTACCAAATAATGAAATATGAACTCAACAAACTTTATTTTATTTTTATTAAAACAAACAGTATTACTGTCTATGGTACAGTTCTTCACATACTCCACCTATTAAGTATTATTCAGCTTCAGCAGCAGCTCATTTTCAAAGTTCCTACTAGACAGATTAGCTCATCTCAGTATGAATAAAAGCCCTGCAGAACTAAACAAATGCTTGCATGCTGCAACTTCACTGAATTTCCCACTGTTGTTTTCATTGAAAATAAGTCTTTTTAAATAAGGCCATGGATGATTATTTGTGTCAGACATGATGGTCAGTTGGGAAGTAACAAAGCAGCATTACTTCATTACACTACTTAAGTAAGTTTTCTGGAATTTACTGTTACAAAAGTCTCTTAAAAATATTTTACTTAAGTAAAATCAAGAAGAAATTATCTACTTTTACTCAACTACATTTCTTTTATAAGGCTGTCGTTACATTAGAAAAAATTAGAGAAAATCACACTGGTTGACATGGTGATAATTTTTTGTTTACATCAATCAGAGCAAGCCTACTCTTTCAAATAAAATAATCACAAGCAGTGGTATTTCCTGTGCTGCTGAGCAGGAAAAAAATGCAGCCATTTTACATCTAGTGTTGATTGTGATAACTTCGTCCCACTAAGTCCTTTATGTCTTTATTTCTAAGATACCAGGATTACAGATTAGGATAAATATTATCAAGTGCAAAGGTCTTACTTACTCACAAACTAATTTTATTTTTCTAACAGTTACTAATTGTTGTTCATGCAATTTGATGATATAGATAGTGTCTCAACAAGTTCTATGTATGTCGTTTTCCAGCCAGTATGATAAGCCCTGGTATTGATGAAAAGCCTTATCCACAAGTGATATAGCAAATTTAGTGTGGTTGACATAGTTATATATTTTTCTTTGCTCTCACTTGTAAGTTCTTAAAGGTACATATCACACACTCTCAAAATATTTCTTTCATACAAATTTTCTAGGTCAGAAATCCAGCAAACATCCTCCAGTATTTAATAAAAGTTTGGAAACTTCATACTCATATTATTATGCACCACATTTAAACACTGTTACAACTTAATGTACTACTGTTAGTAAAGATTAGTATAACTACAATTATTCAATTTTAACAAAATTTAGCAAAATACCATTTTAACAATTTTTTCTTTTCAATAAATATCAGAAGATTACTGAGCTGCTTGCTTTCATTTGTAATAGGTTATTTAGGTACCAGAAGATTGGAGGATGGCTAATGTTACTAATTTTAATGGTGGATTTGAGCATTGTTCAAGAAATTTTAGGCCAGTTTTAATTTTATTATGGGGGAAACCTTTACTCTAGATTGTCTGATAAAGATGTTTTAGAGAATGATTTGATGAAATTAAAAGTTTTGTCAAATAACATGACTTTAGAGAGGGAAGTGTCCTATTTATTAACCAATTACATTTTTTTGTTTTTCAAAGGATGTTACTTATCAGAATGAATGTAAAGGAGTGAATATGTTTTACTTGTATTTTAGAAAACTTTTCATAAGGTGTTCATACTATGTTAGTGAAAAATAATTACATCAGTTGGAGTAGGGAACAAGTAAATTAAATTGTTTCAAAGTTGTCTGAGTTACTATTAATGGATAGGGTTAAGTCTGAATGGACTTGTGTTACAAGTAGTGTGCTTCAGGGATCTGTATTATAACTGTTGCTAAGCTTAGGCTATATACTCAACTAAAGCTGGGAAATTAGTGGAATTTGATGATGTATTAATCATCAGGCTCATTAATTGATAACATTCAATTATTCTCCCTTGCATTCACTCTCTAGCTTCATAAGATTACTAATGTAGTTTTCTCTCATTGACACTGTGGTTACACGACCCACTCTTTGAACAAGAAGATTAGCTTGCTGGTTTAACAGTTCTTGTGACTGAAGGATAAAAAAGTTAATTCAAATAAAATAATGATAAAATATAGTAAATAAATAATATTGTGTTATTGTTTTTTATAAATCTGATTTATAAATGAGTTAAATGAAATTGATGTAATTTGAAGTTGCATAATCTGATTCACACTCTAAACATTGTTCAAGAAAATGGATCTTATATACATTGTTCATCGACCACTACTATGTTGTATCCCAGCCAGCATAATCAGTCCCGCTATTTGGCAAATAGTGGTTGACATGTTATTACATGATTGATTTAATTGGTGCTCATAGGTAATTAAGTTAATCACCTTTTTATTTCTGAATGTTGTGTTTTGGTAGCATACTTTTGTAATTATTAAAAATAAAAATCTGTATCTCTGAATGTGAATAAAGTTGTACAATTTACATTCATCCCTGTACTTCATGGAATCATGTGAAATGTGACCAGATTCATGCAAGAGGCCTATCGTGGAATAACATAGGAAGCTGGTTTGAATAAGAACCACCAATGTTATACTTATTTTAAGAAAAAGTGTTTTCTTTTAATTATTTAAATGTTTTCAAAGGGTTTTAAACATTTAAAGATAATAGATAAATGTTCATTTACTACTTTGATCCAGCCATTCTGCAATCCAATTAGTGTTCACTCAACCTCCAGTGATTTGATTTTTTGACTAATCTTTTGTGGAGCATCTTATAAACCAAGTCCACATGATTTTCATCATTCAGATAGCAAGTAACATCCTTAAAAAAAGAGTGCCAAATTGAAAACTGTTGTTCATGTTTACTTTGTTTGGACTAAGTAATTGTGTAGTTTTAGATTTATCCATTGGTTACTTATTATAAGCTAAAACATAGCAGTGTTACCTAGGGTAACATTGTTGTAATAAAAACAGTTATTGCAGGATTTACCTCAATTAAAATCAACTTTATTTGTTCCTTTTAAAATGCATATAGAAACTCAATGATTAGGGAATCATGAATATAGGGACAAAAATGACTTGCATGTATTTATTTTCTTACTAGTGACTGCTAAACATTGGGTATGCCTGACAGTTTAAATCATTATAAAGTGAATAACACAATTTAATAGGCCTAAATAAATAGAGCAGTGCCACGTGTGTGTATATATATATAAATATATATATATAGTGGTATATAATTTCCAAATTGCTACTGTAAAGTTTTGTTTCATGAGACCATCGACTCTAAATAAACTATGATATACTCAGTATGGGATATATTGAAAGTTGAATGTGTTATATTAAAACAATTTTGAATATACAAATTAGCAAAATGTGTGACAACTGTAGCTGACATACTATGAAATGGAATGTATCAGAACATCTTGACATTGTTTGGCATTTTCTAGGTAGTGGTTATGTTGCCAAAAATTGATTGCTTTTGGGAAGGTTATGTAGTAGCCCATTCCAATGAAAAATATTCTTACACTGATCATAAAAATGTTTACATGTTGGGTATTCATAATTTCTAAGATGGGGGTATATCTTGTACTTAATGGCATTTGAAAATATTTTGCGGAACTATTGCCAAGATGCATGGTAATCAGATAGGACATGGCTACATGGGCTGTAATGATGTGATGAGGCTCCATACTCATAACTGATGTATACTTTTGGTCATGACATGCAAAGCAATCAAAAGTTTTGGTTTCTTAAAGAAAATAAAATCCTAATCATCTTGGGCAGTTACAGAAAGAGGTGTGGCTGGTTTGATATTTGCATTTACCAATTCATTACACAAATGTTTTATTTTGTCATTGATATTCTTTTCTACCACATTAATCTTACTGTAATAATTTTCTGAACCTCTTCAAACTTGTCATTACAGTTTTTCTGTAGATCAATTTTGTCATTACAGTCAGTCTGTATTTCTTTAGTCTTATTGTTGTAATCCTTCTTTGCATCTAAATAGTTTCATTAATCTTTTTTTCTTTCACATTTATTTTTATTCTTAATTATTCTCTTAAATTTTGTCTCTTTTTTTCAACTGTTCTCTTAAGTTATTGTCTCCTACCTACTTCTTGTTTGTCTTTTAATTTTCCAACCTGTTTTTTTCTTGATCTTTTAATTTTGTCTTGTTCTTCTAATTATCTGTGTCTTTCTTCTTGGTCTTCTCTTAATTTTGTGTTTTGTTTTTCTAATTTTTCTCTTCCTTTTTTATCTTTTAATGTCTTTTTCTGTTCGTTCTTTTTTTTTTCCACTGTCTTATTATCTCTAGCAGGTTTCATAATCTGCTTTGTGCTCATGCAGTCACCATGAAGGTTGAAGTTTGGTCATAGTTTTAATTTATTTTCACTGACATAATCTCATTTCTGAAATCAGTGTTGAAACATTCTATTGTTTGGTGGGTTCTTTTGGATTATTTAGTAAAAATGATGTAAGAACCAGTTCACGTAACAACAAATTATTATATTTCCTTAATGTTTGCTACAACCATGTAGCTTACCTATAGGCCTAACTTCAAATACAAAACTTTTGAACAGAAACTTTAAAACTGTTATAGGCATAATACATTAATAATAGTGTTTAAAAGAAATTTCCTACATTAATAACAAAACTAAGTAACTTACTGATTAGCTGACAGAAGCATCATCTCTTATTCATCTGAATAACCTTACTTTATCAACAATTCCTCAATCATCCATTTTTGTATTTATACTGAATTCCCTTTTCTACCAAGTATGGGAAGTTTCTAGTTTCTAAGACAGCTTCTACAAACTTTTTAAATCTGGTGTCATCATCATGCTTAACAGCTTCCTTTAACAAATAATGCTTGGAGACAGTTTGAATGGGTAATGAAGGAAAACTTTAATACAAGTTTAACAAACAACTGAATTATAACATCTATATATAAAATCACAAAAATCTGTGTGTCTGTCTGTCTGTCCATCATATAACCACACCTACATTGCTGGACTACTCTCAACCAAACTGTGGGATGATAGTTTCGAACAAGGGGTATGTTAATGGGGGTTCACAACCCCTTCCACCTTCATTATTGCTGTTATTGACCATTTATTATCTTTGATGTAAGTTAACATTAACTACATTCATAGATGGCTCCACGTCCTTACACACACAAAAAAATTAATTAAATTTTCTATAATGCAGCCCTTGCCCATCGATTAATTAATTATGCGAAGACAAAGTAAACAGGTACCCTTAGTTCCACAGTGTTTCACCATTACCTTCATTGCTTTCTGCGTCAACAGTAATTGTAA